AGTGTGGGAAGATTACCACAGATGGATGGAGGGAGGGAGGGACAAGAAATCAGGAAAGATTGGAGTTTTACCCTTATTTGTTCTCAGTAGGAACCCCATAGGAGGAAAGGTTGGTCAAAAACAAAAAATAAATTGGTAAGTAGCTCTGCTGTAACACATCTTTGTTAGGTGAGAATTTAAAAACAATACAGGGAACAAAGAAGCCTGGCTGTTCCACTCACACCATTGCAATGGTCCTGATGCATGCCCCGATGCCCCAGGGCACCATTGTGGAGATTCAGCTTGATTTCTGGCTGCCTCTCACTCCCTTACACCTCCCAACTCTGGGTTCTGTTCCTGTCTGAAGATTTCAGGACTATAGCTTAGGATAGATTCTGATTGTAAGTATCAGGACTTCCTGAGCAAGGTGCTCAAAGGTAGTGTTGGAACAAAATACATCTGAAACTCAATCATAAATATCTTTGTAACTTTGTAATTCACAGTGATTCGATATTTTAAAAAAACAAATAAAAAGAAGTAAAGATAAGGAAAAGGATCTCATTTCTATATAAAGTAAAAATAAATAAATAAAGATGCATATTCTTTCCCCTTTACCCAAAACAATTTCTTGAAGTCTTAAAGCACTGTGCAGGGGCCAGAGCAATGGTACAGAAGGATGGGGCACTTGCTTTGCATGTGTCTGATCCGGGTTCAATCTCTGGCATCCCATATAGTCCCCTGAGTACTTTCAGGAGTAATTCCCATATGCAGAACCATGATTAACCCCTGAGCATCTCTGGGTGTGTCCAGAAAAAAAATTTTTAAAGGAAAAAAATAGAAAAAAATAACTTTCCTAGAGGCAACTGTTGAGTGTCATTTGCCTGTAAATTCATGGGGTCAGAAGACCTTTACACCTAACTTAACCAGAGCTCCTGCTTCTACCTTTCTGGTAAAATACCACCTCTTCTGGAAAATCTTTCCTGACATGCCAAGAGTGTTTTGGCCCATGAGGCTGACACCTAAAGATAGTAGATTAACGGGACAGGAAGATTGCTCCATAGCTGGAAGCCTGCCTCATGAGCAAAGGGGAGAACGCAGCTGGAATAGAGAAGGGATCACAAATAAAATGATGGCTGGAGGAATCAGTCGGGATGGGAGATGTGTGCTGAAAGTAGATAAAGGACCAAATATAATAACCTCTCAGTGTCTGAATTGCAAACCATAATGCCCAAAAGTAGAGAGAGATTATGGGGAATCATGTCTGCCATGGAGGCAGGGGGAGGGTGGGAAAGGGGGATATACTGGGGGTATTGGTGGTGGGGAATGTGCACTGGTGGAGGGATGGATGTTTGATCATTGTGTGATTGTAATCCAAACATGAAAGCTTGTAACTATCTCATGGTGATTCAATAAAATATAAAAAAAAAAAGTGTGTTGGCCACACCTCTGTGTTATCTCTAAATCTCATAGAGAGCTCAGCAGGCTGATGTCTCTACCACAACCACCCATCATAGTTCTCACGCAACTATAAACTCCTCAGTGTGGCTCCGCATGGCACTGCTCTTGGCCACCCACTCTCCACACAGGGTCTGGCCCATGATACCAATACCCAATGAGCTGCATGCAAAATTTGAGTTAAACCAGAAATGCCAAGATCAAGATCATCTTGGCCAAGCTGTTGGAAATCATGAGGGTAATGGCTTAGAGGCTGGGCAACCTCTCATTTCTGCAATCAACAGACATTTCTTTCAGAGCCCCGCTTCTAATGTGCTTCTGCTCGGGAGAGTTGGGTTGAAGGAAACCTGTGTTCCATTCCCAGCATGGATATTAATTTACAAGTTGGCTTTGGGCAAGTCCTTTCCCTTCACTAAGACAGTAATTAGTCCTGCAGAGAAAAGCTGACCTATGAACCATGGAGTCGAGCTTCTCCCCCTGACTCGCTGGTTGGCTAGCACCCAACTTAACCAGAGCTCAGGTTGCTGTACAGCCCACACCCTCAAGAAAACCTCAAGATAAGAGTGGTCCAAATTCTCAAACATTAGTCAGGAATAAGAAGAACAATTGCTGGCGTCTGGCTGGTGCTTTAAGCTTACAAAGCTGTCTGGGTTTGAACTCCAGCTCCTCCATTTTCTAGTTATCTGCTCTTGGGTAAATGATTGTGTCCCCGTTTTCTCATCTATAAAATGGGAATGATCGTAATAATGTCTACCTCATCATTTCTGAAAAGTAAACGTAAGCTCTTAGAATCATACCTGGCACAAAATAATTACTCAATAAACCACTGTTATTACTAGTAAGCACTTTTAGGTGCTCTAATTGATGTGATACTTCCATTCTCTTACTTTAGGCAAATCTGGACAGGATTCTAAAAAAGCTTTCAACATTTGAAGCACATAAAGATTTAGATAGAAGTTTTTAATCCAAGCCCAAACTTGGTCTTGTAATAGGGGGTTATTATTTTCAGGCAGAAACTGACTCCTAGTTTGGTCTCACCACCCCCCTCCCCACAGGATCTCTGTAGAAAGGACGGGATAGTTCCCTTGGTAGGGATGCTCTTATATAAAAATGGGGTGAGCAGAAGCAGCGACTAATCAAAAAATTAAAGCTGGTAATACACTTAAGTGATCAATCGCTTCTTTATTTTGAGGGTGGGGTTGGGACCACACCTGGAGGTGCTCAGGGCTTACTCCTGGCTCTGTGCTCAGGGAGCATTCCTGGCAGGACTCAGGGGATCCTATAGGTCGCAGGGCCCTACCTGCTGTATTATCCTTCAAGTGACCCATCCTTTCATCTCACTAATAGAGGAATTGACAGATGGTAGATGAGCTAGAATCATGGGACAGGAAGTGGGGGTCAGGACTTCCTGTCCCACACCATCTAGAGTGGGTTCCCTGTGCACAGTGGTTCTCAACTCCACTACTTCTTAAGGAGGGTCCAGCAGAGTCTGGGGGTAAGGGTCTGAGTGTGAGGCTGGTAGGATCTCTAACAGTGTATTGTGGTCTGACATACTCTGTGTGTGTGTTGGGGGTGGGGGAGGGGGAAGGAAATGGAGTGTTCAGGGTGCAAGATATTATATTTGGAAGGAGTTAAGTTAATGTGGGATGGGAATGTTAGCCAGTAACCAAGAAGTCTGGGTTCTCTAGTTCCAAATTCCATTTGAAAGCCATCTTAGTCAACGCCCAGGGTATTTCTGATCTGAACCACTTGGCCAGGAGCACTACACATTATCTTATTCCTAAATAACTTCTAAAACCAGCTTTCTGCTCCATTCTTTAACAAGCACCAGCTCTACTCTCAGCGGAGGTTGAATCTCGAGCTCTCTGGTTTCTCCAAAATCCCCAGGCGGGCTAGTTATCAAGGTTGTGCCTGCAGGCCACCTTCCCTCCAAAGCAACTATCTTGCTGGACCAATCTTCTGATTTGGAAGGAAACCAAGGTTAGGAATGGCTCAGAGATCAGAACAGGCTACCATGGGATTTTTGTTTGTTTGATTTTTTGGTTTGGGAACCACACCCGCTAATGCTCAGGGCTTACTCCTGGCTCTGCACTCAGGAATCGCTCCTGGCAGTGCTCAGGGGATCATATGGGATGCCAGGGATGGAACTTCAGTCTGCCTCATGCAAGGCAGGAGACTTGATTGCTGTACTATGTTTTGGACACATGAAGGAGAAAAAAATGGGTGGTGGAGGGGAGAAGAAAAGACCCTCGTTTATGATAACTTGGGAGGGGAAAGTGTCTATAAGTTAGCAATGTCAATAGAAAATTGTGTGTTTCCAGACTTAGATATAAAGAAGGACTTAAGGTATTTTTGCCCTCTAGAATTCATTAATTACTCATAGTCCAAAGGAAGCCCAGACTTAGATGATATGGTTTCATGTTGACATGGGTTGTTATTTGTTTTAACAGATTTTTTTTCTGTTAAGTTTTATTTTCTTTTGACTTTATTTCATTAGTTATACTAAGCACATTTCAGCCAAATTGGATTGACTTAGTTTGGAAATAATAGTCTTTGTGTCCCCTAAACACCAGGAGTGGTCCCTGAACTCAAAGTTAGAAGTAAGCCCTGAGTATCACTGGGTGTGGTCCCAAACTCCCCACCCTCAAAGAATATTATATGTAGAATATCACAAAATTGAACAACTAAAAATAGAATGGTATCTGCAATTAGTTTATGTCTCTATTTATATATATACACATATATGCAAATGAGTGATAATGAGTATGTATGTGTCCTTTGAAATGATTAAGATAAGGATTATTAATATGTCCACATAATTATTTCTTATATGGGTGTGTATATATAGATATTAGTGTCTATATAAAAATTTAAACATCTTCATTTTCAGTTACCATATGGCAATAAATTGGCATATGGTATAACCTTAAATAATTGTCACAATATCTATTTGTGCCAAAATACTATTTTATGAAGTCCCAGATATTATGTCAATAAGTCTTCTATTACCTTCTTTTAGCTGGCATCTCTTTTATTTACATGGGAGTGTATAAATGTGTATAAGGAATATTTATGGTAAGAAATACACATGCCCAATTACATCTAAAACTTCTTTCCATTTGGAATATTGACAAAACTAACTTACAAAAAAAATCAACTCAGTGTCATCAAAGGAGCATACATAACAGAGAAAATAGGTAGTTTTTCTTTGCAAGCCATGGGCTTTGCTTGTAAAGTCTATAGGCTACCTGAGATAAATTTATAATGATCACTCAATTGTTTTAATGTTTCTTCTAATAGCCCAAAGGGCCCACAGGTGCATTCAGGGTATTACCACAGAACCCAGAATTCCTTCACTTGACTCAAGCCCTTCCTAGGGCAGCCAGAGAGAGTAACTGTCAGACTTTGTGGAACCCTGAGCAGAGCTGCCGGAGGTCTTGTGAGGTGTTGGCTTAGTGCTGTTTGCATTTCTGTGCCAAACTTGGTGCGAATATGTCCTTGCTACCCCCTATCTAGGTCTGGGCCCTGTGCTCAGGTCCACAGCTCAGCAAGGGTCAGGCACTCACCACACACTGTCACTGCTTCTTTCTACCGGCCTGCCAGATGCATCATAGTAGACATCCACTGAGAGGTTCCGGTCAGTGTCGTGAGCAGAGTTGAAGTTGGTGATCACCCTGGAGGGAATCCCCAAACACCGCAGCACTGCAAGGTGAGAGGGAAGTCTGAGGACTTGGGTCCCCCGTAGGGACAGTACCTTTGGGGACACCCTGATATGACCCATAGACCCAACAAAGGCACCTCACCTGTGTTGAGAGTCCCAGCAAAGACCCAGCACTGGCCAAATCGAACTGGCTTAAAGCCATTGCTTCGCCATTCCTTCAGGATCTCCACACTGCCGTTCCAGATCCTCGGGTCCACGCCTCCGGTGTAGTTGCCACTCCAGTTTCCAGCAAGCACACCATTGTCATCATTGCCATTGATCTGTGCAGGAATAAAAAGCCCTCTAGAAGTGAGTCAAGTGAGTGATAGCTGGGCTGGATGCAAAGGGAGTTGGGGGAGGGAAGCCAGGGAGGCTTTGACTGAATTTTCTGTATCTTTCTAGGTGATTTAGGAAGGAGAGCTGTCATAATGGGACTTTGGAGTTGTTTGCAAATTTCAAAGAACTTTGGCCAACAAACTAAGGTTGTTCTAGTCCACATGTCCTATGCAGCAGGGGCGGCTCCCATGGAAAACTGAGGTTCCATGGGAATAGTGGGCTAGCAACCTAGCCTCAGAGGGTTTATTTATTTATTTATTTATTTATTTTTGCTTTTTGAGTAACACCCGGCGATGCTCAGAGGTTAGTTCTGGCTCTGCACTCAGAAATAATCCCTGGCGGTGCTCAGGAGACCATATGGGATGCTGGGAATCAAACTCAGGTCGGCTGCATGCAAGGCAAACGCCCTGCTCGCTGTGCTATCGCTCCAGCCCCATCCTCAGAGGGTTTCCTGCTAGAATTCTTGAGTTATCATGGATGTCAGGCCTGGGAGATGCAAAGCTTGAAACTCTCTCTTGGTGAACGCGCTTCACTTTAGCAACTAATTTCTTCTTGAGAAGAAGAAAGATGGAATGCCTCTTTTCACTTATCCCTTCTATCATTCCTTCAATGTCAGGAGTGATTCTGGTCTAACGAGCCCCCACCGAAGGTGGTGGGGAGAGAGCACCAGGCTAGAAATTCAGAGATTTGAATTTCTTGCATCTTTAGAGATGCAGTATGAACTATCTCTGGGTGAAATGATGACGGACTGTTGGGATTTCTGACAACCTGTGCAGGGGATGGAAAACAAGACTGACTGGCTTCAAGGGATGATTGCTAAAGTGATGATAGGTATATGGGAGTTCGTCACACTTCTCTCTCTCCTCTTGTGTGGGTCCCCACTTTTCCATAATAAAACATAAAAGAGGGAGAAAGTTGGGTAACACGCCCCGTCTTGCCTCCTGTCATTGCGGTGACCGTGGGAGGTTCCCTTCGCTTCTCCAAGCCTTTGTTCTTCACCTTCTAATACTTTGGGGAAAGTTAAAAACAGGGGCGCTCCCAGGCCCTTCCAGAAGCCACACAGAGATGAAGACACTCAGATGAGCATTTATCCCACTGTACCCTGAGTGGCTGGGCAAGGTCTTCTTGGGCTCTGCCACCTGCCAGCCTGTGAGTGTCTTTCTGTGAGTGCCACAGAGAATGGACAGGTTGGGGCTGGGGCGATGTTCAAAGGGTTGGAGCTCAGGCTTTGCATGCAGGAGCCCCAAGTTCCATTCCGGTCACCACAAGGTCCCCCCAGAGCAATTGGGAGCATCCTCCAGGTATGACCCCAACCAAACCCCAAACCCCATGCAAACAAAACACCAACAAACAAAGCGAATAATCTGGAAATGAAAGGATCCGTGCCAGGACGGGCCTGCCCGGTCTTCCCTGGTAACTCCATGCAATAAGGGGTGGGAGGGAGGAGCTCGGCCTCCCTTGCAGAAGGGCCTGGGTTGGAATCGCAAGATCTGGCAGGTGAGATGGAAGATGGTGCCACCCACCCTTGGCTCCTGAGTCACTGGTGCTCCAGTACCAATGGTATCAGCAGGGTCATCTCTGGCTGAAAGCTGAGCATTTCAAAGCCCTGCATAGTCCATAATTAGCTCCCAACCCCGCCCAAGGAGGAGGTCTGGAGAGAGCAGCAGGGAGGGGCAGCCCCAGGAAATTGGCACCCAGATAGTGTAGTTTGTCCCGAGGGAGAGGGTGAGTCAGCAGCTGTGGGAGCCAGCTGGCCTCCCCCACCCTCCCCTCTGCTGAGGAGGCTTGGTCCCTAAATCCCTCTAATGCCAGCTTCTCTTGCCTGTAATCCCACAACACCTGGTCATATGGTTTTTAACCACCCCTCACTTCTTCTCACTTTTCCCTGGCTCCTAGTGATTTCCCAGTCCCCTGGGCCTCACCACGTCTCTCCCAAGGCCCAACTGAAGACACGTTTCAAAGAGGCCTCTCAGACTAGCCCCAGATGGACCTCCTGCAACTTGACAGGTTGCTCACATATGGTAACTAGCTCATTAGCACGGTTGTCCCCCAGCTCAAAAGGGACTGAGAACACCAACCTTCACCACTGAAAGGGTTAACCAGACTTCCGGGTAATTATTTCATTTCAGAGCATTCAAGAACTCTCTGGCTGTTGGCTTGCTCATTTGTGACTTGGAGTAGGTGCATCATCGCACACGTGGACACTTTCTGATGGAGGTGGTGCCCACACACAGAGTATGAAGAGACGGGATCTTTGGGGAGCCAGCTCTTATAGTGTGTGTGTGTGTGTGTGTGTGTGTGTGTGTGTGTTGGGAGAGACAGGCGTCTCACATGGGAGAACTAGGCAAGTACAGAGGACCTTAGCAGGTATCTGGGGGCAGTGACTGGGTTGACCCTAGCTGAGAGCAAGCCACGTGAGCTCCTGGTCTTTCGGTTTCACCATTGAAATCATGAGCAGGCTGGCCTGCTGGGGCCTTCCCAACCTGGCACTAGAACATTCTAAGATGTTTTGGAAAGGATGATCAAGGCAATGAAAGGAAACTTTATATTTATGGGAGAACCCACCTTCTCTCCCTGGAGGCTCAGTGATGAGCAGGCTTAAATTTGCATCCTATCAAATCTGCTGGAAACCAGGGGTGGACAACTAGTACATATGCTTTCTTGTAATAGCAGACCCCAGTTAGATGCCCTGCCATGCATATGATCCCTGAGTCCTGCCAGAAGTGATTCCTGAATTGACCCAGGAGATAGCCTTGAGCACCATTGGGTGTGGCCCCAAACCAAAAGTAATAAACACATTAGTGGAGATCAAAGGGGGTAAATTCCTTTGTTGCCTTAGAACAGCCTGAGGATTCCTCAGACAGGGTTTTGGAGCAGGGACACTACTGGTTCCGGTTTTGTCTCTCTGTCCCTCTTTTACTGGGTGTCTCAGGCCAAGTCCTTTAATTTTAAGGAGCCTCCTGTTCCATGTGTCCAGAGCAGGGATGGTAATAACACCGACAGGATTTCCTGAGGTCATTCAATGAGATGACGTTTGAACAGCGCACTTGTACCTGACCACAGTTGGATTTGATATCTGATAACAACTAATCATCATGGTTTTCTCCATCACTCACCATTGCACTCAGCACCCGGCCGATGTACTTGGGGTCATTTCTGCGGGCTACATCAGTAGCGGGGTCACGGCGGAAATTCAGACTGTGATCCAGGACAGAGAGGCAAATGTTGAGGATGTTTTCTTCAAACTGTTCAAAATGGAACCAGATGTCATGAGGTAGGAAATGGGAAGTGGTGTGAGTACATGAGGGCACAAAGATGACCAGTTCTTAGACCCCTGGACTAAGAACTCTGAAGGTGCCACTAACAAGCCCTGTTGTCAACTCATCCAGAACCTCTGACACATGGGACCCAGTACTGCTGACCCTAAAGGAAACAGGACTCTCTCAGGATCTTGGGCCAGGGACGCAATCACTTAGCCTCGAAGTCTTTATCTGTATAGCAAGAGATTGACCTGAACTCACCTCCAAGTTCCCATTTTGTTCTGGCTGTGGTATATTATTTAAACTCCTAGGGAGCAGATTCTAAAGATTAAATAGCTCACTCGAAGCTGTTTTCGCAAATAACTTATCTGTAATAACTGCTTCTCAAATGGAGAAGATCAGCTCTCTTGCCTTAGGGTTTGAGCCATTCTCCTACTTCCAGTTGCCCTCCCCACCCCATAGGTAACTGGGGATTTCCCACCTCCTCTACCACCACCCCAGTTATCTTTCTAGCTCCCTGACCTTTTTTTGGGGTCCTGATCAAAAGTTCCTTCCTCAGACTGTGCCATGCAAAAATCTCCTTAACAAATCCTGGTATTCCCACTCATAAATGCTATATAGAGAAGCAAGACAAGGGAATGGATATTATCTAGTGATGGAAAAGCCTTGGCCCTGGATTTTAGAACTGACAATTTCAAGTAAGAGGTGGAAAATGGTGGGAGGGTGAGGAGGAGGACCAGAAGTACCAAGGACATTGGTGGGGGTCCTAGACTTTGCTGGTGGAGATGTGGGGCAACTGTGTATATCAAAACCATAAGCATTGGGGTTGGAGCAATAGCACAGTGGGTAGGGCATTTGCCTTGCATGTAGCCGAACCAGATTCAATTCCCAGCATCCCATATGGTCCCCCCGAGCACCGCCAGGAGTAATTCCTGAGTGTATGAGCCAGGATTAATCCCTGTGCATAACTAGGTGTGATCCAAAAAGAAAAAAAAAACATAAGCATCAATGTTATTTTAAACCTGTGGCTCAAACTATAGCACTGTATAGCACTATCCTCCCATTGTTCATCGATTTGCTCGAGTGGGAACAAGTAACGTCTCCATTGTGAGACTTGTTACTGTTTTTGGCGTATTGAATATCTCACAGTTAGCTTGCCAGGCTTTGCCGTGAGGGTGCAATACTCTCGGTAGCTTGCTGGGCTTTCTGAGAGAGGTGGGGACTTGAACCGGGGTCGGCCCAGGTTGGCAGCATGCAAGGCAAGTGCCTTGCCACTGTGCTATCGCTCCGCCCGGCTCAAACTATAATAATTAAATTTAAAAATAGTTTTCCAAAGGAGTAGGGTGGCAGAGAAGGGGACCTTGAGATATGGATGGAGGATGTTGACATTGGGGGTGGCTGTGAAGTTGGGAAGAGAAAAAAAGCTTCCTTGTTTTTTCATGCATTCTAAGCTTTCCCCTCTTTCCTTTGTCTTTCTTCCTAGCAAATATGACACAGAAGCTTGATCTATGAAAGCTACTGTCACTGGCTCTAGTTACCTCAAAATGGTACCTGGAGAGGGACTGAGGGTGAGGTATCTGCCGACCCTATCCTGGATATCGAACCCTCACCCTCCATCTCCACCTACAGCCTCATACACAGTCAGGCACCCTATCTCTCTGTTGGGAACAAAAAAAGAGGACAGGATACCCTGAAAATATTTCAGGATCAGCAAAACTGAATACTTTGTGGACCTTCATGGAAGGTCCCAAACAAAGACTGGTTTTGAGAGGTTGGAAGCTCCCCACAAGGGGAGTTTCATTGCTTTCCTGCGATAGAATCAATAACTGAAGCTACATTATTGTTCCAAGAGTCTGTGTTGGGTCTTATTCTCATCAGTATATCATGGTTTCAAGTTATAGCACCCAATTAGCGACAGGTTCATTTATCCTGCTAGATTGCAACCCCTCCAAAGATAGAAAATCTATCTTCTCTCTCTCCTTAGCCCCAGTGTTTAGTCTGTATCCTGGCACGTAGCCCTTGGTCAATAACTATTTTGTGAATGGAAAGAGTAAGTCAATAGACTTGGGAAACTCTACCTATCTGTGGAGACAGTTGCAGAGTTTCTTGGGTGACACAGACACTAACTCCCATTTACCTGTCCATAATTCCAGCCAACCATGCTGATTCGATTTGCACTTCCCACATAGATGATGCCAGCATCCTGCTGAACATACTCTTCCCTCTCAGCTTGATTATTCATAAAGACGCCATCGGCTATTTGACACAAAAGGTGGACATCAGGGATGAGAATCTTACATAAGATTATAGAGCCCAGTCCTCCTCCCACTCCTGAGTACTGCCTTGGGGACTAGAGCATGCCCCACCTGCAGCCCTTCTTCCCAGTCCCACCAAGGAATAAAATCTCAGGTGGTGATGCTTCCAAATCATATTGTAGGAGCCATGAGAAAGAATCTAGGTTGACTTGAGGGCCTGACAATGACTCTTTGGGAATGAAACACATGCTCCTCTAGGCAGAATTGTACTGGTGCCATTGTCCATTTTAACAACACCACTGCACCTAACTAAGCAGTGTGTAGAAACTCACAAAATTCCTGAGGGATCTGGGAGAAATAGCAGGATATGCACATAATGGTGAGGAATTTGGGGTTCAGAGCAGTAGGGGCCCTTCCCAGATGCACTTGGCTTAGCTCAATGGCACAGCAGGGACTCAAGCCATGGCGTCTGACAGCTAGTTCCTGTGCTCTCTCCATAGCCCACACTTGTTCCCTCATCAAACCTGTGCATGTGAAAATCACTGCCCCAAACTCCCTTCCATGTGCATTGGCTCCCCTCCATGGTGGGTAGGAGTGTGGGTGGCCTCAAAGTCCTTACCTTGCGACCAGGGGTTAAAGAGCACTGCGAATGTCCCAAGTTTCATAGGGGAGCCACCGGCCTGCAGGTTCAGCGTGTACCAGCCTATGGGAGCATTGGCAGGAATGGAGATGGAGATATCCAAAGCGTTGTTCTCATTGGACACGAGCTGCGCACTCCAGCCGCTATTATTCCTGTCGTTGGAGAGTGAAAACACGGCTCTGGTCCGGGCCGAGTCTGAGGGGTTAGGTCCTGCAAAAGAAGATTGTGGGCAGTGAAAATCAGAGACCCAGAGAGAGCCAGGTCCCAGGGCAACCCAGGGGGCCTCTGAGGTCAGCATCATGCGGAGAAGCACTGTGGCTCAGCAGGATGAGTTCCTCTTGAAGACTTGACTCTCGGGGCCAGAGATGGCCACCTTGGCACAGGGCTGGCCTAGAGCTCAGAATCCAAGGACCCCTCCCCCAGGTCACGTTCAGTGTTCCAGGCTCAGATGTGGGGTGGGGGAGATGTGAGGAGGTACCTGTGGAGGCGACAAACACCAGGCTCTCTGCAGGACCCATGTCTTGGCTCATGGTCATTCGGAAAGGTTGGCCTCTCCGCAGCACGAGATCTTGGGTGAAGTACTTGTCTGTGTGATGCGCCTGCCGGTTGGCGTTCAGCTGCCAGTTGATTTTCTGGGGTGGTGAAGCTGGAGAAAGAAGAGGAAAGCTGAGATCCTGGGTGGCATGGATGGTGGAGTGGGGGGAAGTTCAAAGTCATCCAACAGACAATTCCTGGACAGAGCTGTTAGGTTGGAACCTACCTCCGAGGGAGACTTGAGTAAAAATCCAAAGAGCTTGACAGCACCCTGTCAGCACCCCTCAACCTCCACTCATCCTGCCTGTTGGGGTTATGAAGCTCTGAGTATACCATCCTCCAAACCCCTGCACCCCTCCAGCTGCCACTCAGCACCTAGGGAGTGGGCTGCAGGTTCAGGGGGGTGTGACCAAAGCATTGGTCCTTTCTGACCCTTTTTACATGTCACTAAGTGGTAGAAGCGTGAAGAGAACTAGAAGGAGGCTGTTTCTCTGAAATCCTCTGCCTCGTCTCACCTCCTTTCCTCTCCTGACACATCTCCCCCAGACACCTGGTGTCTCTCACCACTCCAACACCCAGCAAATATTTATGTGTGAGTTACATTTTCTCCTGAGTATAGGCCTGGGTCTCTGAGGTTGGCAAAGAGCGTGACTCTCAGTAGCATTGCTAGGATAAGAGGTGGGGCAATTGCTGGCCTGGCTAGGGGGGACTTTGCAAGTTCTGAGTGGACTAGACGGGAGGGATAGTACTGGGGGTAGGGTGCTTTCCTTGTATGTGGCCATGTGGCCAACTCTTTATTGAGCCCCATAGGGTCAGTCTCCTGAGTCCTGCCAGGAGGGATGTCTGAGTGCAGAGCCAGGAATTAGCCCTGAGTACTGCAGGAAATCTCAGCAAAAAAAAAAAAAAAAAAAGTGAGCAGGACAGATTATAGGCTCATGAGTCCTCTGGATAAGGTCTGATAAGGTCTTGAGCATAAACTAGTGAAATAGTGCAGGGGTTAAGATGCTTGCCTAGAAAGCATCCAGTCCTGGTTCAATTCCTGGGACCACATAGGATTCCCTGAATGCTACCAGAAGTGACTCCTGAGTATGAATTGATCCCTGAGCACAGAGCCACGAGTAGCCACTGAGCACCAGCAGGTGTGATCTCATCTCCCTCCTACCCTCTGCAAACAAACAAAAAGATCCTGAGCACAAACACTTCAAAGATTGGCCCCCACACAATTTGGGAGCTCCAAGAGACAACACAATCTACACATAGAGTACCCCGGCCTCTGCAGCCATCTCATTCCCTGGAGCTCATTGTGTTGGAGATATTCCATCTGCCATTGCTCTGAAAATCAAATGAATCTGTCTTTCTGAGGAAGTCACAACCTCTGAGGTTAGGTGGCACATCCCTGCACTGTGAAGGACTCTTCCCTGTCTCTCTCCCCATCAGGATCTTTGTGTTCCGCTGCCTAGCATGCTTTCATTATGGAATGTGAATATGGGGTACTCACCTAAGAAACAGCGAAAGCATCTGTCGCTTGGGGGATACTGACTCTGGCCTGATATTGGGGGTGTAAGAATGCATGAAGAGTCATTTTCACCTTCCATGAGCCTCGGGTTAGCATAAGTAAGAATGAGTGATGGGATGGGTGACTCCCATCTTCCCCCAACTAAGGGTGTCCCGGGCATGCAGGCAGGAAGGAGTTGCTTTCCATTACTACTGCACAGATCAGCAAGAACCTCGCTAAAATCTCTGGTTCTCAAAGGAAGAAAGTTTTGTCTGGATGCCTACCCGGGTGCAGGAGAGTGTGGTGCTCCCAGGAGCACTGAAGAGAAAGGAAGAGCAGCTTTATAGCAACCCATCACAGATACTCTCAGGAAACAAGATTTTGGGGCAGGCCAAAGGTGGTGACGAGAGGGTGTGCTCAGGAGATAGTCTTGCCACACACTAAAGGTCCTAAGGCTTCATTTCTTCACACATATCTTCCTTCCTCTGAGAATAATCGAACAACCAAATGAACATGTTTGCACCAACTCAGGGAACACATGGCTTATGCCAATATCAAGCGACTGACTAACAGGCCATGGTGGGAAGGAGGCATGGGGAGAAAAGATGCTTCCTCTCAAGAAACAAGGACCAGGCAGAGTGTAGGGCTCTGTCTTGGGCAAACGAGGTGCTGTAAGTGGCTGCAAAGAACTCAGTTGCTAGGTCTCCCAGGGGCAAGCCCACCACTGCGTTCCCTTCACTCTCTTCTCATGGAGCTGGATGAGAGTGTTCCCCTCTGTCACCCTGTGTGAGGATAAAAGGACAGCTCTGTGGAGGGTGCACTTTTAAGTCTCTTGAAGCTCCCCAGAGTTGCTCACCCCTCTCGTGAACCCCCACAGATGTAAGCTTTTATCCCCCTGGTGAAGTTCACTCTTCAGAGAGCAGAAATCCTGTGCCCAACCCACTTCTGCCAAGCAGAACAAATGGAGGGAACGGGGTGGGAAGGGGGTTCCACATTAGCCCACTTCTGCCTTTCCATCATAGGTTGCACCCTGCTTCTCTGCTGTGGCTGTGGAGCTAATTGTCATAGTGGGGTCACTCAGAGGGGCCACTCCAGGAAACCAATGGCTTTTCCAGGAGATTACATGAGGAAGGGTAGACAGCCCAAGCTGACGAAGGGTACTTGGCCTCCCCACGAGGTAGGGCTGTAGCAGGCTGCGTCTCCAGACACCGAACATGCACCCCACCTGGCCTGAAGGAGGCTTGCTCTCCCTGGCGTGCATAAGACTATGCCAGTCTGCTCTGAGAGGCCCGCAGCAGTCTCAGTTATCTCAGATGATAATGCTTTCAGCGTCATGTTGGGCCCACCCACAGACCCTCACAGGGACAGGAAACTGGCACACACACACACACACACACACACACACACACACACACACACACACACAGGGCAGGACCTCTTTGGTGCTCAGCTGACAGCTCCCAGCAACTGCTGCTCTGTTTTCTGCTGCCATGAATCTGCCTATCTGGAGCAATTCATGGGGGCAGAAGTGTACAAGCATGTGGCCTTTGGGGCCGGGTGTTCAGCTTAGCGAGAGGTTGTCAGGGTTCACGCCACCTGGGTAAGGACTAGTCTTCCACAGTGTGGCTCTACCTGACTCTGGCCATTGGCGCTTGTTTCCAGCTTTGCCGTGAATATTCCTATGCAAGTATGTATTTCAATACTTATTTTCTATTCTTTTGAGAACCCCTCTTTTTTTTCTTTTTGGGTCACACCTGGCGATGCACAGGGGTTACTCCTGTCTTTGCACTCAGGAATTACTCCTGGTGGTGTTCAGGGGACCATATGGAATGCTGGGAATTGAACCTGGGTTGGCCGCGTGCAAGGCAAACGCCCTACCTGCTGTGCTATCTCTCTAGCCCCAGAAAACCCCTCTTTTTAAGAAACTTGGGTGCAGATGCTGAAGAGATAGCTCAAAGGGCTGGAGTGCTTGGTTTGCATGTGGGGAGTCAGGGTTTGATCCCTGGCACCTTATGGTCCCCCAAAGCTAGAAGTACTGGGGAAGGGGGTTCTGCCCAGTACCTGGACCCCAGTCAGTGCACATCTGCCTTAACTGTTCAGAAATGCCCTAGCCCAAACCTGACATGCAAGCAAGAAGTAAACCTCTGTCTTGTTACTTGGAGCTTCACCGTTTCCCAGACAGTCCTTATGCCACACACACCTTACTGCTTGTATAACCTCACCCACTTATTCTGTGGCCTCCCTTGGGCAGTGAAAGCAAGAGAGGCTCTGAAGAACCTTAGAGAAAGGCGGCCGGGACTCAGAGGTCTCCATCCTCAACAGCCTGCTGCTGCTGTGGAGTCCCCGAGTCAACAGGAAACTCTGAATATGGTGTATAGGAGTGGAGGTCTAACCCCAGTGCTAAACTTGGTCTTCTCTCCAACACCACCCGCCCAGACTCTATTCCCGCGTTCCCTCTCTAGACAAACACTTTTATCTTACAGATTTCTGGAGCAAATTGGGAATGAGTGGACATATCCTCCCATTCAGCATCGTCAGACTTTGGGTGATCACAATAAAAAAAATTGGTTTGTGCCACCTTTCCATTACATGGGGCTCTAACTGACCCCAGCGGGCACCAAACAATACAATCCCTTACTAGGCACAAAGCATCGATGTTTCTCTTTTCCACTTTTCAGAACACTGCCAGTTCTTTCACCACACCCATCTACAGCCTATTAATGCAGCCAGACGGACAGTGAAGAAATCCAACCTTCCCATGTGACTCCTTCCCACGTGGCTCTCTGAGTGGTTCCAGAGTGGTTGGAAGCAGCGCTTGGTCCACAAACCAGCTCTTAGATTCCCTCCCCCCCTCACCTCTGGGCACTGTCCGCTTTCCACTGGCTCCTGTAGCAAATACCGCCTTTCCCTCTCTGTGCCTTTCTGGGCAGGGGGCATATCCCTAGGCAAGTAGTCTGAAAGGCTGGGAGACTTAAGACCAGGGTCCCTGGTTCTCTGGAGGGCACTTGCCCCCTTGGCAGCAAAGGGATCCTGTGACCTGCACGTGCTCCCCCGTGGGTGGTCATTGAGCTCCCACACTGCCCATCACTAGCACCTGGTTCCCCAGAGGTAGGGACATGGTGGGGGACAAGTGCCTTGAATCTCACACATGTGGGCAAAAGTAATGAAGGATAGAGGGTGGGGAGCTTCTATTGTCTAGTGAAATGGTTTTATTTTGGAAATATGAAGAGGGAGAAGACAAAGAGTTAGAGGAGAGAGACACAAAGAGATACAGAGATAGAGATAGAGAAAGAGATAGACAGAGAAAGACAGAGACACAAATAGGAACAGAAAGGGAAGATAAATGAGACAGAGACAGAGGGAGATTTTGCTGCCGAAGGCCCCAGCCCCCAGCCATTGGAGCTTCACTGTTTCTCAGACAGTCCACAGGTGCTGTGCTCTGCCTCTTTGCCTGCCTTCCACCGCAACTCGGGGATGTTGTAATTCCCTCTCACAGAGGAGGATTTGGAAGTCCAGTAAAGTGACGTCACTTGCCAAATATCACACACTCAGGCAGAGCCTGGACCCAAGCCCGAACCAGACGCCAGTTTTGCCTGACCACGCAGGGCTGCCAGTTGCTAGGGTGGTTGTGGGGGTGCAGAATTGGGCCCCGTTTCAAGAAGCTGCGGGAGAGAAAGCACCAGCCAGCACCTGCTCCCTGTGCGTCAGCAGCAGAGGAGGGAAGGTGGAGGAGACGTTGGAATGTCTGAGTTCATGGCTGTGCCCCAGGAAAATCCCTTCTCTCTGGAGCATGAGTATGGCCTCAGCTCAGCCTGAACCACATAAATGCAGGCCTCCGAGTGAGGAACAGCCTTGGTACTGGTACCCTCATCCAAGTCTCATGTTCCATGGTTTCAGGCAACTAAGGTTCTAAAAATTGATGCATAGTAAAGTATTTTGAGAAGCCTCATCCAAAATAGTCTATGGTTACGATTGCTCTATTTTATTATTTATATTATTGTTAGTCGCTTTACTGGGCCTAACATGTAAGTCAAACTTTATCAAGGGCATGTGCAGAGGAAACACATCGAGTCTAAAGAATTTGGTACCATCTGCGGGTTTAGACGTAGGGTGAGGGGTGGGGGGGATATTGAAGTATATAAGTGGGAACTGCTGGGATTTATTGATGTTGTGTAGTTGGGGGGGGCACACCTGGCAGTATTCAAGAGACCCTGCAGCCCTGGAAACGGAGTCCGGGGCTCCCGCATGCCCTTTGAGCTATCTCCCCCAGCTCCTGCTCTATTTTTGTTCAAAGCTCCCCTGAGTGGATCTAAAAGCGGCCAGCACTGAGGCTCCCTCCCCGAGGCTGATAGATCATTTCACATAAATCCAAGCTCCTTCACCTAATTATCTCCCCCGAGCCACAGGGCAGCTCTGGGAGAGGAGCCAGACCCAGAGAGGGAACGCAGACACCTTCCAACCATCTCTGGCCCCATCTCGGGACCTGGGCTGTGGGAGGGAGGAGAGAGAATGTCCTGGCCCAGCACACAGCCCAGGGTGGCATGTGGGCCCTGGGGAAAGAGGCATCGCCTTGCTGGAGCAGGCCCAGCGGGGTGGAGCAAAACCCAGAAGGGCCGTGCAGAGCTGAGAACTATGGGTGGCCATGAGGAGGCTTGGGGTGGGGGGTGGGTGGGGCAGGCCGTCCCCAGCCTCCAGGATTGCACAATGGACTTTAGTACCCCCACCGAGGTGAAAAGAAAGCAACCTCCCCATGAAAGAAGCTCCTGAAGTATAAAAAACCCTTGTGTCCCAAGGTGCACCCCACAAGCACCCCAGGTCAGAGGTGAAGAAACTGACCACAGATGAAGCAACCTGCCTGAGATCTCTCCACCGAGAGGGTCAGAGCTGAGCCGCCGGCAGAGCGAGTGTCTGGGCACACCAGCCCGGCCCCGGGTCTCTCTCCCCGGGAATGCTGGGGCACTGGTAGTCTCTGGTGTTGGGGTTGGGGTGAGCGGCGCTCAGAGGCGCTGGGGCCCCAGCGGGTGAGCCTTTGTCCTGGAAAGAGGCGAGTAGGGGCAGCCGGACGTGCCTAGAAGGGGCAGCCTGTCTTCTATGGCCCCATGATCTCTCACCCCAGTTAGAGAGGGCTATAGCTCCCTGAAGCACAGAAGCACTGAGCAAGAAAGCCCCTGGGGCACGGCCCCAGGAGTCATAGGGGGGAGGCAGGAAGCCCATGAGAAAGCACAGGAGGAAGCTGTCTGTACTCCCTCACAGAGGGGCTTGGGGACGGCTACAGCCACAGGGTGTAGAGGCTCTGCTAGCTGGGGAAGGACCAGGAAGACGCATCCCCGGAGCATCCCAGGAGCTGCTGCAAAGTCCCTGGCAGGCAGGCTCCCTGCTCGCTGAAACAGCGTAACCCCGGATCAGAATGGCCACTGTAAGGGGGAGATTTTGCTCAGGTCTGTCCCCCCGACAATGTGCTCTCTGACCCAGGACCTCCCAGTGCTGGGAGGTTGGGGAGCAAGGCTTCCCCACTATGTGGGGTCCAAGGTCTGAGTTTACATCTTACCTCCCCTTCTTGGGCTCCAGATGGCAGCAGGCAGCCCCCATGCCACTTGGTGCAGAGACCAGCAGGCCTTTCTTTCTTTTTTTTTGGGGGGGGGGGAGATTTACACCTGGCGATGCACAGGGGTTACTCTTGGCATTGCACTCAGGAATTACTTTTGGTGGTGCTCAGCAGACCATATGGGATGCTGGGAATCGAACCCGGGACGGCTGCAAGCAAGGGAAATGCCCTACCCACTGTGCTATGGCTCCGGTTCCCAGCAGGCCTTTCTTTGCGCCCTTAATCCACACATAGCTCAGCCACTTTCCCACTATGAGGCGCCAGAGGTCACCCTGGTGAATACCCACAAGGAGTTTGCATTGGGCACGGGGCATGGGGACCTCATTTACTTTTCTATTCCCTCTGTCCAGGATGCTTCTCATGCCACCAAAGTACCCTGGATCAACCCCACTCACAGTCCCTGGTCAACCAGTCTTCCCTTCTGCCAATCCCAGGCAAGATTATCTCCTGGACCCTTTGGTTTGCATTTACTGCAGCCTGATGATGGTTCCTTGGCAAGCCACTTGCCTATGAACTGGTATCACCAAACACCATGGGACGATGAGGCCATGGGAAGCCAGAGACCACAGCCGGCAGCTGCCTGCCATCCCCCATGTACCAGGCACAGGCCTGCCCTCGGCATCCAGAAAGTGAAGTTTCCTTCCAGAAGCATCTCCCGAGCATGGCCCAATCAGAGGCAGCCAAACGAGGAGCTGCATGTGAGGCTACTTTCCAGGAATGGAGGCACCCACCTGGCTGTCCCCTTACCTTTTAAAACCCTGGTTTTCCCCTAACTAGCCAGGACCCCATTCTCTGACCTAGAAAGTCTCTGGTTGACTCCAATTTTGAGCTCAAAATGCTCATGAATCCCAGACCTGGACCTCAGGGCCCCTTAGGATGCCAGGGGAGGCTCCCAGCAGTCAGACTCTTCAGCACAGCGTAGGGCCTCTGAAAGGATGTGGTACTCATGCCCTGGGGCTGAGCAGGGTCTGGGAACCGCTGCCCCATTCCTCTCTTGCAGGGAGAACAGTCAGTCCTGAAGGGGCCTGAAAACTCCCTATCTCGAGCCTCTCACCTCCCCTCCGAGGAGGGCTGGGCTGACTCAGGCTGTGCAGAAGCCCTGGGTACAGAGCTCCAAGGGAAAACAGGGTTGGAATGCCATCCCGGGCTGCAGATCCCACAGGTGTGTGTGTGTGTGTGTGTGTGTGTGTGTGTGTGTGTGTGTGTGTGACTCCGCTCTGGTCTCAGGACATGAGCACCTAGTTTGGCTTTGCTCCCAGCTCTACATGAGACCCGGGGGTTCCCACCCTCTTCCTGGACCACCTCGTCTTCCTAGAAGCATCTAGGTGTCCTTAGTGATGGCTGGCATTCTCTCTTGCTAAAGTCTCCAGGAGCCGAGGCGCCTCTCCTTGGCGTTCCCCGCATGGTCACATGCTCCTGGGGGGAATCAGGGCGAGGCAGGCGGCCCAGGCTAGCACCCATCCCGTTCTGGGCGTCTGCAATCTCTGGAGCAACCAGTATTTTGCATCCCGCTCAGTGATTTCTCTGGCAACCCTTCCCCAAGTCCTGACAGCCATTCACCATCTCCAACAGCCTTACTCACACCCTTGTTTGGGTTTAGCGTCACTGCCAACTCAGTGCGCCGAGCACCACGACAAGCAATAATTTGCCAGCTGCCCAGCAGGGCCCTGTGCAAGCAGAGCCCAGATCCTCGACAGTGACCGCAGATGGAGCTTGGACTGAGGCACGGCTGGCGGTTATCTCTCACCCCCTTCCCTGCTGCTGCTGCTGCTGGTCGGGGCATCCAAGCCTTCTACCCCGGGAGGGTTGGGCTCCTGGTCCTGGCTCATCACTTCAAAGTACCTGCCCTGCTTCCTTCCTCATGTGAGTTTACTTAGGAGCATACCAGCGCGGCTAATGGGTTCCTTCCAAGTCCACTCACATGCCGGCACTTTCTCCCTCCCTTGTAGCTTGGAGATGTGCTTTTCTTTGCCTGACTTACTGGCAGCGGGGCACCACTGCATGGAGAGACCGAAGAGGCAGGTTCCAGCTTGCTCAGTGCTCTCCAAAATGTCCCAGCTGGCTCAGTCCTCCCACTCTGGGTGGGGGGGTCACTGATAGGGGGGGCGGTTATAGTTACCTCCGGTACAATGCTGGGGTGGGGGTGGATTTTAAATTCTTTGTTTAAAGAAGGTAGATTTCCAGGTGGGTGCTGAGTGATATATATATATATATATATATATATATATATATATATTTTTTTTTTTTTTTTAAAAGGGGGCAGTAGGTTAAATAAGTTTGGGTACCTCTGAGCTCTGGACATGGCCAAGCTCATCCATCTGTGGAAAGGTGACGTGACCTCCAGCTGCACTGAATACCTGCTCATTACTCAAGGCTACATTCCAAACAAACACATTCTACCACAGGAACCACGCTAGAGGTCTGGGCCGTCCCTGAGAAAGGGATGCCGCAGACTAGAACCCTGAAATGCTAAGATCCAGCCTCCAGGGCCCCCAGGGAAGCTGTCCTGGGCCAACACTCTGGCGTGCCAGGCTGACCCAAGAGCAATGCGAACTTCCATCAAGAGCCTGGCAGAGAAGTTACCACCACTCACCAGCCATGGTTCGCTTCCTCTGCCTCTTCTCCTGGCTGTCTCGGAATGACACTGACACTGACGGTGTGGGAGACAGGCTGCCCGGGTTTGCCTTACCATTTATAGAAGCCTCTCCTCCACACCCCAATTAGAATTCTAATGAGGTGGGCGAGGCACCAGGTCATTCCTGTAGTGCCTGTAAACGTTTCACTTACGACATCCTTGTCACCCAATGGAAGGTCACCCTGTTTGTGCAAGACCAGCTTGCGGGAGAAGAGCGGAAATAAGAAAAAAAAAAGAGTTTGCTTTTGTGATTTCTTCTCCCCCTCCCCACCCCACCTCAACCTGCACCCCAAAGATGGACAGTTTCCTGGAGGAAATGAGTTTCTTGCTACGTGGTTCTTGGTGTATCTTATTCAGACTTGATGCTGAATAAGAAAGGGGGGAGAAAGGGCTCAGCGGAAGCCAGAATCAGGAGACCGCTTAATGCTTAACGCTATCTCACTAGACTGACTGGTACACAGAAGCATGGGAGTTTGTGGTAGTGCAGCAGGAAGGGCATTTGGAATGGAGGTGAGGGATGGGCAAGGCTCTAAGCACCAATGCTGACAGGGGTTTCTGGCCATCCCCAAAATCTGGTCCATGACTGGGAGCAATCCTGCACCCCCAAACCCCCTTCTCTCCTCACTCAGTGGTGCGAATAGTCAGATTTTCTGGTGCAAGTGCAGGATGTGGACGCATGTGTTGAGTTCAGATCTCTTCTAGGACTGAAGGGGAGTTTGATTCCAGATTGAGAAGGAACTGTTGCTTTTTTTCTTAATTTTTTAAAAAAATTAAGATATTTTATTTTATTCCATACACCCAGGGCTGCTGGCAATGAAGTTTCCTGTGATGGGTATAAATTTAGAAAAAGCTTCTTTCTTATGATAGCCACGAGTTGGAAGCACCCTAAATGCCCACTGCCCAGAAGTGGGGTGGGGGTACGGGTATCTGGGTGACTGCCAGAGGTGTTAGGAGGGTCACAGAGTGCCAGGTACTGAACTGGGTCCTTGCATAGGCTAGACATGGACTCTGCCCCTTGAGCTCTAGCCCCGGTCCTGGAACTGTTTTTTTTTCAATAGGCATTGGGGGCAGCCACTGAGCCTGTAGTTGAGACGCAGTTCAAACCTGATTCTGCCGCACGCTCTCTGTAAGACTGGTCAGTATGTCAGAGGTGCTCTGGACCCCCTCCTACAAGGGTTAAAAATGTTAGTTAAAGTTTTGCCTCTGGGGTTAGAGTGATAGTACAGGAAGTAAGGTGCTTGCCTTGCATTTCACCAACCCTAGTTTGAATTCCTGGTCCAAGATGAGAACTGCTAGGGATCACTCCTGAGCACAGAGCTGGGAATAACCTCTGAGATCCACAGGGTATGGCCAAACATTCCCCTTTTACCTCTAAATTGCCTCTCTGAACTGACCTATATCAGTTGAAGAAAATGGGTGTTTTAAGGTTTTGCCTGTTTGATCTTTTTAAGGAACATGATTTTCAAAAGATCTTTCTGTGGCTATTACAAGTACTGAGGTTTCCTGCAATAGTTGTGTTTTTTAAAATGCCTCTTTCTTACAATAACCAAGAATTGGAAGTCCCCGAAGGGTCTAAGGAAATACATACATAGAGAGGAATACCACTCAGCCGTAGAAGACAAAGCCTTGCCATTTGCAGTAACATAGTGGGATTTAGAAGGTATCATGCTCAGGTCAGAAAGTGAGAAGGAGAAAGACAAACACCTTTGATTTCACTGTTATCAAGAAATCAAACAAACGAATGAACTAAACAAAAGCCCCCAAACCCTGAGACTATAAATGGTAGCAGTCCTGGGATAACAGTGGGAGTGCTTCGAGGATTGATGACTTTTGGGAGTCTTTCCAGAGAGCTACAGTGAGAATGAAGACTGAGGCCAGGAAGCAGGGTTAAGTCTTCAGGAGAAGGTGAACCTGAGTTCGTGGGTGGGAGAAGAAAAATCTTCTCTCTTCTTTGTCTTTCATCCTTTCTCTGTCTTTTGGGCTCTGGGTGTATTTTGTACATTCAGACCCTCTGTTGCCGTAACTATTCCCTGTCTGGGAATGATCTGTGTATAACCCCAGACTGGGTTCTTTGAAGCTTTGGGCTGTCCATCATTCATATCTTCCTTTGCAGAATTTAGCTTCGGGCTTGACACCTGGCTGGCACACGTATACTTTGGAATGTTTCGGTTCATCCATCACCATAAAGATGCAAATAACAGCCACCATTGATTTAGGGATCACCGGGGGGCTGTGAAAGCTCTTCACACAGATGATTTTTTTAAAATCTCCTTCAATCCTGTGGTGGTGTAAGTACTATAATTATAGTTATCATAATTTCCCCCCTTTTTTGGTTTTTGGGCCACACCCAGGGAGATACTCAAGGGTTACCCTGACTCTGTGCTTAGAAATCATTTCTGGCGGTGTTTGGGGATCCATGTGGGATGCCGGAGATCAAACTCAGATCAGCAGTATGTAAGGCAAGCACCCTCCCACTGTACTATCTCTCTAGCCACTGATTCTTATTCTCTTATAGGGGGCAGAAACTGGGCTGTGTTTGTCTATGCATCCATGAGATTCACATCCACATGTGAATGACCCAGAGCCTACTGGCATGACCTCATGATTAGCTGGTAAGCCTGGTGGGCACACAATCTCCAGTAGCTCCTACAGAGGTGAGTGTGTGCCATGCTAGGCAGAACATGCCACTGTTGGCTCTAGGAAGGGAGCAGAGGGTAGAGAGGCACACAGCAAAGAGTGTTGGAGCTCCAGCAGGTGGTTTGGATGTGGGTCCTGGCTCTGCCCTGCCTCTGGCCATGATGTGGACAAGGCCTTCCTTCTGCCTGATCCATCCTGTTTGAAGCTCTGAGAACCGTGTGAATGGAATGGGATGAATGGGAGTTGAAGAATTGTGCATGCTCTCAGTGTAGAGGAAGGGAAGGAGAGGCTTTGCTTATTACGATGTTGTTGTTGTTGCTGCTGTTGTTGTTCTTGGCCTAGGAGTCAAGAAGAGTTGGACCCTGGGCATTCTTTGCAGTGACCTGGCAAATCAATGTTCAGAGAAGCTCCAGATTCTGGCTCTGCTGAGTTCCCTCCCTGTTCAGATTCTCCGTGTCCTCATCTGTAAACCTGAGATAGAATTGCTGTATTAGAGGAGAAGGTGACTACAGAATTCTGGGCACAGTGACTGGCATCACCTGGTGTTGAGAAGTTAGTCTTCTTATTATTAGTATTCTAATTCACTTGAATCCCATAATTCTGAGAAATAGAGTTACAGGAACCCACAGAAATGGTTATCTGACCCTTGGAAATAAAATTAAATATATTTTATTTTAGTTTGGGCAACATGGTTACAAAATCATTAACATTCACATGTAGCTATGTGCTAAGTAAGTAGTGATGGACTCAGTAAGAGTACCCCACCACCAAAGTGCCAATACTGAAGCGAACCCATCTTGGATTGGCAGAAACATACCCCAGCCTCTAGCTTGCCTGCTATGAGATCTTGGAGGAATCCTTCCACTTCTCAGAGCCTCGGTTCACTATCCTTCCACCAAAAGGCACACCTCTGGGAGCTACAGGAAGGTTGAAAACCCTAAAGTCATGGAGAGGATACTCTTCCCTGATGAGGGAGGTGTTGCACACACATCTCCCCTCCCCCCACCTGCTACTCCGGGCTCCGCTGGGAGCCAGCCTGCTCACTGCCCAGCAGCAGGACCCTGCCTCTGCCACTCCCAGACACCCCTACAGGAATTTTCCTGGCGCTGACTTAATGTTAACTGCTGGAGGATTGCACCACTGCAGCCCCAACCAGCAGGCGGGCCATAATTTGCACGCTATGTCACAATTTCAGCTAAATGATTTTCAATTCATAGGTGGAGTCACCCAGCTACAAGCAGGATGAAATTCCTGCTTGGCCACACTGCCTCTTGGATTCTCGCTAAGACGGAGCATGCAGAAATGAGCTTTTTGAAAGAAGGAGCCGCTAATTGATCATTTGCCCTTTTCTCTCCCTTTCATTAAGGGATTTAGTCTTGATGAAGGTTTTGCAACATGCATGGAAGCACTTTTGACAAGACAGACTGCCCAGACTTTCTCGTGGCATGAGACTCTCCTTTCCTGACAGGTTTCTCTAGAAAACTCCATTGATGGGGGACCGACATCCCTCCAAGCAGCCTGCTTCTGTAGTAGACTGCTCAGACTTGAGAGGTTCAGTTCTGCTGCTTCCCTGTTTAAGGGTTATCTCCCAACTTGCCACTTCCATGGGGCCTTGGGAATGGCAGGAACCTTGTTCATACACCTCACAGCTCTCTTTCCGTTGCATCACTCTGACAGTCTGTCAGTGGGTTAAAGGGCAATAAAAGGAGGCTGGAGTGGTAGTGCAGAGGGGACGAAGTTTTCTTTGTATGCAGCCAATCTATTTCAATCCTGATATGCTAGATAGTCTCCTAGGTCCACCAGGATTGATGTCTGAGTGCAGAGCCAAAGATAACCCCTGAGCATCGCCAGGTGTGCTCCCCAAACCAAACAAAAACCAAAAAGGACCAGAAAGTTCTTCCTCATTTGAACCAAAAATGTGCCTCCTTAGAGGTTTTGCCCACAGGCTTCACAGGGTCCTACTGGAGACTCATCATCACATCCTCATGGAACAAATTAGAACAAGCCTGTTCCTTTCTTTCCATAACAATGATCATCTTCTCCCATGAGCCTGGCAGGCTTGCCCCTCCCTTCCTGCAACTCTTCTCTTTTCTAGGTTAAACATCAGTTCTTTGAGCATGCCTGGGGCATCTCAGTGCCGGCCTCTCACCAACTCTGTGAAGTAAGTCATGCCACCTGGCCCCGTTCCCCTCCTCTGAAACCTTCAATGGCGCCCCATGATCTATCACAGTCTCATTCCTGACTTAGATATTCAAGCCCATGTTTAAACCTTCATTCCATTATTTTCTGCTATTCTTGCATGAACTCTGCTAGTCAGTAAAGCCTGCTTAATCATTTTTTCCCAAAACCCAACACCATTGTCCCTGACTCC